TATATATATATAATATGATATGTATGTTTATGCACTATCATTATTTTTTCAATCAATAAATATCTGCAAATTTTAAGAAAGTAACTTTCTTGCTAAACTTTTAAACCCTATTTTTTATTGTGTACGAAAAACATGTGTCACGAATCTTTTATTATCTTTCTCTATAACAAAAGAAACCGCAAAAAAAATCTTTATAATTAACAATAAATTAAAGTTTTAAAGAGAATTTTTCCTCCTTTTCTTCCTTCTCTCTCTCTCTTTCTCTCTCTCTCTCTCTCTCTTTTTCTTTTTCTTTAATTCCTCTGATGATTGTACGATTTTCCACACTTTATAATTATCAAAACCAAGATCGAAAGGTAATTTAAATTATGCATGCTGCTGGCTTTATACTGCTCGCGCTTGCCAGTCGTTCTGTACATCTTGTCACGTATTTTCGCTTTTTAACGAATTAACGGTGTCCTTACAGACGAGAATGAACAATGCACCGCGGAAAAGAGCAACGATGAGGAACCGGAAATCTGCGAGGTAGCTTTTCATGGTCAACTTAAGTATCTACTCTGTGACTCGCCGATCCTTAACAGCGTGGAAACAAATGTGGTCCAGAAAAATTCCAAGTCTTGCCAGCAATTCCGTTGCGATGGCTGTGGCAGAGCGTACACGAGAGTCGACAGCCTGAAACGTCATCAACAGAAATGCGACGAGCTTCTGGCGTCGTTTCAGGATCGGCAGGAAGCGTTAGAAAGGCTTCAGCAGCAGGAATATTATTGTAATCAATGTGGCAAATCGTACAAAAGGCTAGATACTCTGCGTCGGCATCAGCGCAATCAAGTGTGCGCTGACAAAGAGAGCAACAATTCTTCAAAAATAGATAAGCCAAGTTTATAAGAAGAAGTCAGATCGCGATATCGATCAATCTTAGAAATATATATATACATATTCAGTGTTAGTTATAATGAGATAAAATAATATAACTTTACGAACAAGACTCTGAACTGATCTATCGATAAAAATGTCAGCTAATTTATTAGTTTAAATGTGCTTTTAAAAGAGTTACACCGACATATAGTATTAATGACTAATTTTCTCGTAATCGAATTCTAACGGATTATTAATTGTGCAATATTAACATCTCGCTTCATTAAGAATATGAAACAATGAGAGAAGGAGAGAGAGAGAGAGAGAGAGAGAGAGAGAGAGAGAGAGAGTGTGTGGATGTGAGAGAAAGAAAGAAAACTCTTCGTATCGATGAAAAATTAATGCCTAAATTCTAAGCAAAATTGTAAGACTCATAACATATTCTCTTATAAGAATTTCCAAATGTTTATAACTTTATGCAATATATTTACTGATAGCTTCTTGCTAGTCGTAAGATTCATGAGAAATCGTTAAATATTTACGTACGACGAATGATCGTACATGTTACGGTATATACGCATAAAATTAAAACATCAATTTCTCTCTCATAAGTTCTTATAAGTTATAAATCTTACGAGGACAAATTACGAGCCTTACGATTCTGTTTAAAATTGATCCATTAGCTTCATATCCTGTACGAATTTTATTAAATATCTAATGACATTTATGAGGAAAAAACATGTGCAACAAGATCCAAAAAATTATTGCATATAAATATAGTAAATCTCTATTGTTCATGTGTAATTAAAAAATTTATGAGATATTTATATAAATTTATATATAAATATTATATAAAAATGTTTAAATATAAATACTTATATATTTATATATATATATGTTATAATTATATAATATAAATATATAATTATTATTTATATTATATTTATAAAAATATTTAT